ATTCTTTATTGTTGAAAACATTACATAAGTCTCCTTTTTCCTCTATTGACCTCTTTCTAGCTGCCCCCACCCCTCAGCATATGCCTATTTCCCCCCTCCTGTTTATCTGTGTCCATTGATTTTGCTCATATGCATGCAAATAAGTCCTTTGATTGATCTCTTACCTCCCCTCAACCTCTGACTTCCCTCATAGGTTGGACAGTTTGTTTGATGCTTCTATGACTCTGGTTCTATGTTGGTTCCTCAGTTTATGTTGTTCATTGTATTCCACAAATGAGTGAGATCATGTAATACTTATCTTTCTCTGACTGGCTTATTTCACTTAATATAATGCTCTCCAGTTCCAACCAGGCTGTTGCAAATGGTAAGAATTCCTTCTTTTTCATAGCAGCATAGTAATACATTATTTCTTGCATCTAGTTTATGGGAAGGAGGCTCCCAATGGAAGATAGTGCTAATGTAAGATTATGTTGAGGGCATAGACAAAAGGCTGATCTTTGGTTCAAGATACTAAAACAACATTTCTAAGACTCAACATCTTTTATTGGTATGAATCAAACTCTAGGTCCATTTTTAACTCTTAACCTATGGGGGAAAATTATTTCCTATGTTTTAAAAATATCAACCTTGAGCCGGGACCGGTTTGGCTCAGGGGATAGAGCGTCGGCCTGCGGACTGAAAGGTCCCAGGTTCGATTCCGGTCAAGGGCATGTACAGTGGTTGCGGGCACATCCCCAGTAGGGGGTGTGCAAGAGGCAGCTGATCAATGACTCTCTCTCATCGATGTTTCTAACTCTCTATCTCTCTCTCTTCCTCTCTGTGAAAAATCAATTTAAAAAAATTTTGAAAAAAAATTAAAAATATCAACCTTGAAACCACAACTCACTAGTGCTAACTCACAACTTCTCTTTGTGATACTGCATTCTCATTGAAAGGCCCAATGGTATTTTAACCAAATGTCATCAATAAAGTCAATAAAATAGGGCATTGAAAAAAAACATATGTAGTAAAGTTTGCAGGGAAAGGATCAAAAATGCTTCCTAGTAGAAAATTTACCAAAACTGCATGTCAAGGATTAATTTTAAAAAAATTTATAGAGGGTCAGGACAGGGCTTCATCCAAAGCAAATAAATTAGAAATTGTGAGACATAATGTCTAAAACAGCACAGTACATTAGAGAATTTTAAGAGCAAAATGACATGGTTGTAGTTGTTGGTTACATATTGTGATAATTTTTAAAAGTTAATGAAATTAAATAGTTAAATTTTTCAAAACAAAAAATTCTATATAATAACAGCCTAATATGCTAAATGTCTGGTATTCTGGTCATCTGTTCAACCAATAAAAGTGCAATATGCTAATAATATGCTAAGGCCACTCAATTGCTTGCTATGACATGCACTGACATCAGGAGGCAGACAATAGACTGGTCAGCCATTCTCTATGAAGTGCACTGACCACCAGGGGGCAGATTCTCTAACCAGTAGCTTAGCTTGCTGCTGGGGTCTGACTGATCAGAATTAACCACTCTGACTGCTTGCCTGATCACACCTAACTGCTTGCTTGGGGGCAGGGCCAGCTCCGTAAGGGGCCATGGTGGTCTGGTCTCTGGTCATTGTGATCTTGACACTTATGGCTCCTGGCGTTTTATTATATAAAATCATTATTTATGATTAGAAAGTTCTGATAATTGCATCTAGCTATTCCTAAGAATTTGCACAGCATGATAGAATATGAACATTTCCCTAATCTGATTTGTTTAAAAATCATAAGAGAACATAAAGTATTTTTGTTTTTGTTTTGTTTTGCTTTGCTTCTGCTTTGTTTACTAAGGCCGTTGGAGCTAACACATTTACTACCAGAGAATAAACATGTACAAAAAGCATTTTATTAAAAGTCTAATTGTCTTGTGCTTTTTGAAAGAAATGCTAAATTTTAAATGAGTAATTTTTGTTTGAATTTTAAAGCAAGAGCTGAGTTCAGCATAGTTTTATTCAGGAAATGCTTAAATATGACTTGAATAAGGAAGTCCTTGACTTGACTTCATAACATAAATAATTTCTCAATAAAAATAATACACCAACAAAACACCTGATATTTAAAAATATCAGAGCAAAATGAAACACTGACAACAGGTAGGGCAATCACAAAATACAAATATTTTGGTTGATTCTGCTTTTTCCAATGCAAACAGGAAATGGTGGACGACCTTGATCACTACACAAATACTTACCAAATCTACTCCAACAATCTCAAGAACTGTCAGGAATTGCTTGGCTCACCAGAAGTCATCAATTGGAAACAGCATTTGCAGATCCAAAGTAAGTAAGGGGAATGGAAGTGTGCTAACTCACTTCTCTCTCCTGACAATTTCCCTTATGATTCATGTCTTTATCCACACTTCAGTCCCTCAGCCTGCTATCAGTTTTTTACTCAGCTGTGAATATACTTGTAATGGGGGAAAACACCCTCAAAGCTTGCAAAAATAAAATATGCTTCATATAGAAAACATAATATAATTGTTTGATAGCTACAAATTTATTTTGCAGATATATCCAGAATCCCTTTGATTGAATGTCAGGGCAAAGCTTGCCCTTGGGCCTTCCATGACAGGAATAAGAATGAAAACTCATGCTAAAAAGCACCTCCTAGGTCATTAGGGAAACAGTCATGGTTATGAGTATGCCATCCATAATCACACTCTCTAGGATGGCATTTGACAGATACCTGATATTATTTTAGCCACTTGAATTATCCTCACTGAGTCATATATAAAAATGAGGATAACAATGGAATAAAACACAGGGGTGTTGAAAAGATCAGATAACATGTTGAATAGGAATTGCTTAGCACAATAGCTGGTTGTGTCAATTAATTTGGACTGCATAGCAAACCTCATAATTCTGTGAATCAAACTTTGGGCTGAGTTTTGCAAGGCAGTTCTGCTGATTTCACCTCAGTTTACTCTTGCAGCTGTAGGGCATTAATGGATGGACTATATACTGGTTGCTAACCTCACTCCCATGCATTAATGATGGTTCTTGCTGTTGGTGCTGGCATATAAGGACTTGTGACAGGCACACAAGTCCTTATATGACTAGCCTAATCCTATCCATATAGTGTTAGTCTCAAGGAAATCAGGAGCACAGAGAAAGCCCATGGTGCAAGCCCCCTTTAGCCTCTCCATGCATCAAAATTACTCTTTCCCAGTGGAAAAAGCAAGCCAAATGAGCAAGGCCAGATGCAGTGCAGGAGGGGACTATTCCAGGGAAAAGATACAGAGATATGGGCACATTGTGGGTTATTCCTGCAGCAATCTGCCATACTATGAACGGAGTAAGCACATAAGAGATGTTTGCTACTATTGTTTTATAATGCATCTCCTGTGATTATCAAAATAATATGTTCATGTAACCCAGAAATTTGATTCCAGTTTTTGCATTTGCCATGAATGGTATGACTATGGCTGTGAATGAATCTCTGAGGATATTCATTGCACAAATCCTGACTAGGAGATGTCTGATCACACCTTGGCAATACGAAGTCAGAATCTAGGTTTTCAGATTGAAAATGTAGACACGTACCACTCCACTTTACAGCTTCTCCATAAAATGCACTGAAATAATTGCATGTCTCTTAAAACCCCATCTAGGTTCCCAGCCCAACCTCAATGAGGTGATACAAAATCTCGCAGCCAGGAAATCCTTCAAAGTCAAGCACACAGAGTGCTTTCTCTATGCAGAACTTAACACTGTAAAGAAACTGATTCCTTCCTTGTTGGATGTAAAGAGCTTACTACCTGGTGGTGGCAAACCCAAGGCCATGTAAGTTTGTTAAAAGCCATCGCACTACTTACACCTCCTATTCCTGAAGTAGCCTCCCAACTTCTCTTTCTGCTTTCACTCCTGCACCCTCCCCCCTATGGCCAATATTCTTCAAAATAGCCCAAATCATTTTTTTCAGGAATGCATTATACACAGTAGGGAAAAGAACAAATATAATATGTACTCATGGACTTTACTTTTCTCTTGGAACCTCCATAGCAATCAAGAAATGTTTAAACTCTCATCCCTGGATGTTACCCACGCTGCCCTGGTGAATAAATTCTGGCATTTTGGCGGCAATGAGAGGAGCCAGAGATTCATCGAGCGCTGTATAAAGACCTTCCCCACGTTCTGTCTGCTGGAGCCTGAGGGGAACCCAGTGTGCTGGGTCCTGATTGACCAGACAGGAGAGATACGGATGGCAGGCACCCTGCCTGAGTACCGGAACCAGGGCCTCATCTCCTATATCACCTATATCCATACCCAGGCTCTAAACAATCTTGGCTTCCCCGTATATGGTCACATTGCAAAGAATAACAACATTATGCAGAAAATGATTTACAATCTGCATTATATCTGCATGCCCTGTGCCTGGAACCAGTGGAACTGTGTGTCCTTGTAACTCCATCCTACAAACAAGTATCAGATGGGCCCCAACATGGGGCTAGAACAATGGATGGGTGGGCAGAGAGAAAGAATGAATTGTACATAATTGTAATTATTAGTAAACTAGTGGCCTCTGGAGAGGCAGTGTGAATGTTCAATATCATGTTCCCTGTACTCAAGTCACTGCTGGCTTCCCTTAGATGTCTCAGGTTGACACAGCCCCAGGCACTCCACATGGTTTAGTTCCCCACACTTCTAAGGATCTGCATGACACTGTCATCAGCTGCCTGCTGCCCAGAATGGCTTCTCCTGAAACTCACAGTGTTTGGATGTAAAGAGCCTTTCCAGATTTTCCAGGGAGAGGTATAGTTTCTGAGCATTATGACTTATTCTTCTCTCTTTCTATGGTCTTTCTCTTAATGTCAGCAAGTGGGCTCTGCTCAGTAGGTCTGTAGAGATCATCCTCTCTTCTGATTGCTGCTTTCTCAATACATAAAAGATACATAAATATGTATGAAATACTTGGTTAAACATAGTGTACATGATCAGCAAGTGGACTCTGCTCAGTAGATCTGTAGAGATTATTCTCTCCTCTGATTGCAGCTTTCTCAATACATTAAAAGATTGTACACAGCCGAAACCGGTTTGGCTCAGTGGATAGAGTGTCGGCCTGCGGACTGAAAGGTCCAGGGTTCGATTCCGGTCAAGGGCAAGTACCTTGGTTGCGGACACATCCCCAGTGGGGGGTGTGCAAGAGGCACTTGGTCTATGTTTCCCTCTCATCGACGTTTCTAACTCTCTATCCCTCTCAATTCCTCTCTGTGTAAAATCAATAAAATATATTTTTTAAAAAGATAAAATAAAAAATAAAAGATTGTACACAAATATGTATAAAATACTAGGTTAAACATAGTGTAAACGATATGGCAGGGAGAGTTTTGAAGGAAAAGACTAACTTATATTAACCTCTCCCCTCCTCACTCCCACATCAGGGAAAATGATTCAATGTTGCTTCTCAAAGCAGAATTTTCTAAATCCACCCAAACCCCAAACAATAAAGAGACTTTCTGTTTGATTGTGCAAGTTGAAGTTTGGGTTTATGGAGAATAGGAAGACCCAGACTCGGGAGGTGGCTATTTATTGAGAAGAGAGACTTTTAGGGGGAGGGCAGTACATCATGGGCACCTACTGTTTTACTTGACCGTGGCACATTGTTTCAGGATGCCTAAATTCTATGCAGTTCAGACAACAGTCTCATAGTGTGGTGGAGTGGAGCAATTTTTGTCCCAGTTGGATTGGGGTAGTTGGGAGAGTTAACTGTCCCATCATTTAAACAGGAATAGTACTAAACCTTGGCACTGGGCAACAAAGAGAGCACTGGACTGAAGATAGTCACTTGGATTAATAACCTGCATGCTTTGATCCATATCCAACTAAAATTAGGCTGTGGAATTGAGGATGAAAGCCCCACAAACAGAGAAACCAATGTGTGAGGTTTAATTTCTTGTACACTCCAAAGAGTGGAGGCTCAGTTTAGAGAAAGGATTCTCAACTTTGGTACAATGGGCATTATAGTGTGGACAATTCTTTGTTATAGGGCCATCCTTTGCAGTTATAGGATATGGAGCAGGATCCCTGCTCACTACCCATTGGTTATCAATAACACTTTCTTTTTCTTTTTTTTCTCTTTTCTTTTTTCTTTTTCTTTCTTTTTTTTTTTTAAATCAATCTTTATTGTTCATATTATTACAAAGGTTCCTCATTTCTTCCCCCTTCCACCAGGTTCCCACCCCATCCTCCACCCCCTCCCCACCCCCCATTGTTCTCATCCATAGGTGCACAGTTTATGTTCAGTCTCTCCCTTTCCTCAAGAACAGTCAGTCCACTCCCCTCCCATATCGCCGACTCTACTACAATGAACCGCTATTATTGTTCATCAGGTTTTTTCAATCTCCTTTGTTGTTGTTGTTGTTGTTGTTGTTGTTGTTGTTTTAATTAATAAACTTTTACACTTCTAAGAATAAATTTTAAAATCTAATAATTTTAAACCTTGTTTTTTTTCTGCCCTGGGAATTGGGAGCAAACTTGTTTACATGTAAACTTGCCATTAGGCTATCAAAAGGTGTAGCCATTCAAGTGTAAATAGACACATTGTTTAAACATAGCTGCTGGTTGGAATCGGATTACCTGTTCTGGGTGGGAAGGGCTTGTCATTCTTTTTCTCCATTAAAATTAAGGTGTTAGCTTTAAAACCTCTTTTTGGCAAGAGACCTTAAACTTTCAGAACTTTAAATTTTTCAGATAGTAAATCAGTTACTTAGCATTTTCTCAAATCAATAATACCTCCACATGCCCAGGGATACACTTCACACAAAAGACATTTCCAAATATAGATCAACCAACCTCATCCAGGCCCCACACAAGGCACTAACAGATCAACACCCCAGCGCTATACTAACTCAACACATCCAGATCTAAGCCTTCCTCATTTGATTCAGCAGACCCTCAAGTTCCCCCAAAAGTTTCCAGCCATGTCTGAGAGGCAGCTGTGGGGTGGAGGCAGGCGAGGAGCGAGCTGTTCTGGGCCTGGCTGCTCTGGGCCTGGCCTCTGTTGCTCTGGTCCGTTCCACAACCAGCTGCTCCGGGTCTGGCCACTGCAGCTCCCGATCTGGTTGCTCTGGGTGTAGCTGCTGCTGCCCCGGGCCTGGCCGCACCCGACCAGGCTGCTCTGGGCCTGGCCGCTCCTGACCTGGCTGCTCCAAGCATGGTTGCTGCTGCTCTGTGCCTGGCTGCTACCAACCCAGCTGCTCTGGGCCCGGCTGCCCCGGGCCCAGCAGCTCCGAGCCTGGCAGCTCCCGGCCTGGATGCTCCGGGCTTTGCTGCTGCTGTTCTGGGCCTGGCTGCTCCGGACCCGGCTGCTCTGGGTCTGGCTTCTCCGGGCCTGGCCACTCTGGGTCTGGGTGTTCCTGGACTGGCCACCCTGGGCTTGGCTGCCTCCGCCTCAGGCCTGGCTGCCACTGCCCCAGGTCTGGCTGCTCCAGGCCTGGCTGTTGCTGCTCTGGTTCTGACTGCTGCTGCTCTGGGGTCTGGCTGTTGCTGCTCCAGGCCCGGCTGCCACTGCCTTGTGCCTGGCCACTCTAGGCCTGGCTGCAGCCTTCCAACATTCTGTCCTTTTTTTTTTTTTTTTAAACACATTTATGTTGCAATGTTGGCTGCTGAGTTGAGTTCTGGCTTAGTCTTCGATTTTTCAAGATCTTCTTTGTATTCTTTCTTAAGTAATTTTACTATCTTTTGCTCTCACTTGATTTCTTCGCATTGAAAACTTCTTCGGTTTCTTCCTCCTTGTCCTGGAAGCTCAGCAGGTTGGCCTGTGGCACCCCTTTCTTCTCCGTGGGCTCCTGTGCTGCTTCAGCCTGTTGCAGGGGTCGGCACCGCCCAGGAAGCAGGCCCCGGCCTCGGCTCCGTGGCCCGCGCTCAGAGGTCGAAGGCCCACGGGCACCCCCCCGCTGGGGGCCCCGTCACCCAGCTCCTTGCTGGCACCCTGCTGGCCGGTGTCCGGCAGGGGCTCCTGCTCCTTGTCACATTCCTCCAATCTGGAGCTTTTTTTCTCCTTCCCGCTAGGGGCGTCTAGCATCAGAGTCAACAGACTGTCCTCTGAATGCAATGTGCGTGACTCCAGAGGCTCGCTTTTCGCTGCTCCCCCAGGGCTCCACCTCACAACCCCGTCTCCCTCTGCTTGAGCCTGGGTCCCCAGGGATTGGCCTAGAACTGGGGTTCAGAGCAGTCGGGAGTGGGGCTCAGCATCGCTGAAGGTTTTGTTTCTTCCCTCCAGGGCAATCCAGCATCAGAGTCAACAGACTGTCCTCTGCGCGCAATGTGCGCGACTCCGGGGGCTCTGCTTTTCGCCGCTCCCCTGGGATTCCGCCTCACAGCCCCGTCTCCCCCTGCCCGAGCCTGGGTCCCCAGGGTCTGGCCCATAACTGGGGCTCAGCGCTGCCGGTTCTGGGGTTCAGCCCAGGCCGGGGTTTTTATTTCCTTCCTGGTAGAGAACCCCAGGCAAGCACCCAGCCTTCTCCTCCTCTCTGGCTGCGTCCTCTCGGCGCACGTGCGTGAGTGCAGCATGTCTCCGTACCTTAGGATTTTTCAACTCCTCTGATTTTCCTTCTGGTTTTCTCTTTCCTTCTTGTTGTAGAATTTTCAGTCAGTCGACTACCTGTAGTTCTGGGCAATGTCCGCTCTACATTTTAGTTGTATTCCATTGAAATTGTTGTGTGCTGCTGTGGTTAGGTGTCTACCTGAGCAGCCATCTTGGATCCTCTCCTTATCAGTAACACTTTCCATTTCAGTTATAACAACTAAAAATGTCTCCAGCTCTTGATAACCTACCCTGGTGGCAAAATCAACTTCAGTTGAGAGCCACTAGGATAGTAGTCGAGGTTTTCTCACTTTAGGATACATTTGAAGCATTTCAGGGAATTGTTAATACAGATAGTGGGCCTCACCCTTATATTTTCTGATTCAGTAGATTTGGGTTAGAGTCCCAGATTTGCATTTCTTGGAAGTTTTCTGATGCTGCTATTCCAAGAGCCATAGAACTATAGATGAAAATTAGTATTGCACACTTCTTAGCTACATTGTTTTTCTTTAGTACTTATAATGTAATTTTTTAAAATCTATTTTATTGATTTCAGAGAAGAAATGAGAAAGAGAGATAAATAGAAACATCAGTGATAAGAAAGAATCATTGATCGGCTGCTTCCTGCATGTTCTCTACTGGGGATTGTGCCTGCAACTTGCACATATGCCTTTGACCAGAATTAAGACCATTTAGTCCCCAAGCTGACATTCTATTTATTGAGCCAAACTGGCTAGGGCAATGTAAAATTTTTCTAATTAATATGTCATATTTCATTAAAATTTTTTCAGTTAAATAGACCTTCAATATATTATATTCACTGCATCTATATATTTCTAGAGGTCCAGTGCATGAAAATTCATGTACTTGGGGGTCTCTCAGCCTGTCCTACACCCTCTTGCAGTCTGGCACCTCTTGGGGATGGCTTAGGCACACTTCCCAGGGGATCAGGCCTAGCTGTCAGTCAGACATCTGGCAGCATGGGAGCTCTCATGGGATGTCCAATGCTGCCCAGGCCAGCTCTTTTGCAGCCGACTCCTCAGAAGGCCAGAAACCAGGCCGAGACCCATGCCTCTGCCTCTCCCACCACCTTTGCAGAAGCAGGGGATGCTGGGACCTCCATGGCTGGCCTGGCAGCACCAGCTTGCTGACCCCAAAACCCACCCACTGGTAGTTCTCACAGGCCATTCCAGAAGGCTGTTCTGCCTTCCAGTCTAATTAGAATATTAGCTCTTTATTATATAGGATAATAGTTAGATAGTTACTATGTAATTTCCAACATGGTTTCCCCAATAAGTTTAGTTCCTACCTTGCTCCATACATAGTTATTACAATACTAAAAGCCCAGTGCACAAATTCGTGCATGGGTGGGAACCCTCGGCCTAGCTGGAGATTGAGGTCCATAGGGTGGCCTGCAGGCCAGAAGGAGGGACCCTGGAATTTTGGCCAGCCAACAACCCCATCAGGGCCTATCTGGGGGCTGGCTGGTAGCGGGGAGGGACTGTGGGAGGTTAGTCAGCTGGGTGTAGGGGCCATGAGAGGTTGGCTGTGGGTGCACACTGACCACCAGGGGGAAGCTCCTGCATTGGGCGTCTGCCCCCTGATGGTCAGTGTGCATCATAGTGACTAGTCAACCAGTCAGTCCAGTCATTCAGTTCTAACAGTCACATAAGCTTTTTTATATATAGATTTTTTACTATACTAGAGGCCCAGTGGATGACAGTTGTGCACTGAGTTGGGGGGGCCCTCAGCCTGGCCTGTGCCCTCTTGCAGTTTGGGACCCCTTGAGGGATGCCCAATTTGTCCTTAGTGCTGCTGCAAAAGCAAGAGAGGCTCCCACCACTGCCACTGTGCTCGCCAGCAATGAGCCTGGCTTCTGGCTGAGTGGCAATTTCCCTGTGGAAGTGTACTAATTACCAAGGGGCAGCTGCTGCATTGAGCTTC